TTTTCGATCGCCCTTCGTAGGGTAAAGGCACCAGTTCGTGGACGGGATGAGGATATTTTTGTCTTGGAAATTGTACTACGGTCGTTGAAGTCACCGGAGAACTGCGTCTTTGGTTTCAATATGAGGTCACGAATCATAGTTATGTATCCATACTCTAAAATTGAGCATTGATTGCATATTTTTCCGACAATAGGTGTTTTAATGACAAAAGTGGATTTTCACGCTGTTCCTATTTGTGGACGACCTGGTTCCAGTTCGTGGACATTCACGGACCCAGTTTGTGGACGACGCCAGTTTTTTTTTTGTTGACGATCATGAACATAGATAGGCCTTATGAGGAGATATTAACATGGAATGTGAGCAGCAGTTTTATTCATCGTCACTGAAATAGACATGAAAGAAAAATCACTCATTCTTCACCCATTTTGTTGGCAAGCACAGCTACATCATTATGGCGAAGCTAAACTCAATACCGTTGGAAACCAGGTGCGTGTTTTCTAATGAAGTCTAAGAGACTTTGATCTAATCGCAAAAAATTTTTTTCGTTAATCTAGACTAAAAATGTTTCTTTTTTGTCGCCAAAATCTTTCCTTTCTGGTGATCTCGGGCATCCTCATTGAAATATCAGGCCTCCGCTTCGTGAATAATTTAAGAGATCTTTCATCTGGTAAGTTATTAGTAGACAGCCTATTTACTCCCCTATCAATAAACTTATTTGCCAACAAAGCTAGTTCTTAACGTGTCTTTTCATACATATAATGCGAATTTACAGTGCTGGTCTCAGGTTTAAAATGTTTCTGATTTTGAAAAGCTTCACTATTAAGGACTAAATCACTCGATGGAAGATTTCTTGATGTAATTGGCCAACTCTTTCTCTGCGGACAACACAGGCAAATGACCCTATATTGACTTTCCGAGGGGCCTAGCATCATTGTTTTCGGAATATTGGGTACTTTTAGGGCCCCCAAACCTTTTGACAGCGCGTCCAATCCACAGACTACCATCGCGTATCCCGCTAAGTGCGATTTTGCAAATCACCATTTGTGTATTTTTATTTTAGCATTTTCCAGGGATGTTGAAAAACATGGAAAATAAATGAATTGATCCAAAAACGTTTTCTTAGGCCCTAGGCCTACTTCCTCACCAACACGAAATTGCTAGACTTATGGGTTTAGGTTGTGAATACTTCAAGAAGCAGTCATCTTCAGACTGGAGTTTTTTCTATTTGTGGGTACTGGCTGATAGGTATGCCGTGCATGTAAGTTCTCCGTATTATTTCCCCTCCGTGAGATGGATTGATAGGTACATCTAGTAAAGAAAAACATCTGAGCAAACAAGGGACTCAGAAATAATGTCATGAAAATAATGAAAAACTATGAACTTGTATGGACTTAGAAAAAGCCTGTCTCCACCCTAAAGAAAGTCTTCCACAAGCTGGAGGAAGGATTCCTCTTCGTGGACACAACCGTCTACAAATAGGCAAAACCTTGAATCGAGAATCCAGTTTGTGGACATCACTCTTTCGTCCTTTTAGAAGTTTTTCATCCAAACATGGATAGAAATATGAATTAGGAACTTCTAGCAACATTTCTGAGCATCATACTCGAGCCCTCATCAATTCTAGTGCAACAATTAACGATGGAAAGGGTTTACATCCGTTAAGAAAAGTGACTAGACATACAAGGAATTCACGAGTGCTGCATCTAAAACGAAGCGAAAATGTCTAAGTTGACTCATGCTAATAGGCATGCATAATTTATATGGTGGCCGACTGGCATGCGCATATCACGGAGCAGTCAAGATGATAAATTTCCAGCGTATATTTTTTTGGATGGCAGAAAACGCAAAATCGTCCACATATAGGCGCCCGTTCACGAACTGGTGCCTTTACCCTATTTGATTTTAAAAACATTTCATCTGAGAGAAAATTTATTATGAGAATACAAGCCCAGGTGAATGGGTACCACGCACCACATCGGTTTAGGAGCTTAACTGATCTGATTCCAGACAAATATGAGAATGAGTTGAACTCATCGTTAAACTGATTTGTGTCATGCACCAAATGAAATAAGTTTATTTCTCTCTTAAATTAATCTTCAAAGATAAACTTGTTCCATAGCAGGTTTAACTCCTTAAGCAGATTTTCAGAGGTGGAGAAAAAAAATGCTGTTCTGCCGGAATGGGCCTCATTTTTCTTGCCTCTCATCATCTAGCGACGGTGGAATGGAAACTAAAGAAGAGGTAGAAGTTTTTGACGTGATCCTGAACCAAACTGCCAAAAAGACTTTCAGAGATCGGCTCAATCCTCTTGAATAGTTCAATGGAGACGAATTCCGAAGAAGGTTTCGTATTTCTAAGGACACTGTCGCCGACTTGATGCAGGTAATGGAGCAGCAGCTGGCACAATACTTTTCATTCTCTATCCAACTGCCTTTAAACGTGTTTAAGAGTGACATGTACCAGATCCGTTTCATTTAAATTAATCCGATCTCACAATGGTCCTCTATGGGAATCTCCTCTAGACGCCCATGATGAAACCAGCTAGGTTTCAAGTTAAACGGATCTGGGGCATGTCACCCATAGACATACAGGGTGGGCCACGAAAAGATGCTATTACCCAGCAAGTGAGCGCAACGAAAGGAGTTTGCTCAAAACTGAATTTGAATGTGATTCCAGCAGCACTATATGCCAGTATAGTCCCCGGACCAGTGTTGATGTAGTCAACCAGATGACGGGTAAAAGCAAGGATCCTACGCCAGTTGCAAGGGGCATGATCATGGGTACAAGTAGGGTTGGGCGATATAGATTTTTAAAGTATCGATATCGCCAGGATTTAATCGAGGGGGGGGGTTATTACAGTTGGTATTAATGGCGCATTTATTTCAGGACAAAATCTCTTTATTTTGGTAATGATTCAGACATGATTTTGAATGCATGACACCATGGTAGTTCGTTGTTCAAACCTAGGAGAGAGAACATATCGACGATCTCTGTCGCAAAGCATGCACGATGCTCGTTTGCGAAAAATCCATATCTCAAAAATATCTCGAAAATAGTCGCTCACATGGGACGGGAAAGTTCCGTGAATTCGCAGGTATTTGCGAGCCAGGTCGGCGAACGACGGGTGTCTCCTTCCGTTATGATTCTGCCGTATCGGTGAATCACCGATCTCCATTTTGCTACCTTATTAATGCAAGATCGAACGAAATTAATGTCATTGATTTCATCCCGTGGCTCTGCTTTTGCAGGTTCGTAGCTGATGGTCAGATTCGAAATCAACCGCGAGTCATGAGCTCGTGAGTGATTTTCAAGATGTTCCGTTTTTCTTTCAAGGAAAGGTACGTCAAGCGTTTAAAGCCGATTTTCCTCGGAACTGGGCTTCCACTTCGTCCCAGACAGAAGTTGCAAAGAATGATGGAGTGGTCTTTTTAGCGGTGAAACTCGATTATCGCCACAATCGAATTGAGGTCGCAAGATGCAAGAGATCGGTCGTATTCCCAGAAACTGGAATTTCTCTTCCTTTCAATGCAGCTAATTTTTCCTATTCCGGATGGGTATTGCATTCGTTGCAAGAATAAATTCTAAACGCATTTCGCATTGCAGACTTTCTACGAGCGTGAGGTATGAGTTTCCAGTTCTTTTCCATCCACAAAAATTGGCCGTGGTTTCATCATACTCGGGGGCTGACGGAATCCGAGAGCTGATTTCCATCATTTCGCCTCAAGGGAATTTTCCAGAAAAAGAAAGCATCGGGGAGGATTGCAGTCCTCAGATTATCCACTAACTCCCTCCCTCATCTCATCGGTTTTTGTCAAGGCTGACGGTCTATCCTTACATCGTCCTATGCCGTTATTGTTAATGGCGCGGTTCGTGCGCTCTGTTTCCCCTCTCTCGCGACAATAGAAAGTAATAAAAAAATTATTTACAAAATTAAAATATCGCGATATGCAGACATATCGCCGATAAGACACACATCGAACGATATCGCGATAATTAGCACAGCCCTAGGTACAAGTCGTGCCGGTGCCACGATAACACGACAGAAGAATGCAATGTTAGGTCAATGCTCATCAAATTGCAACATAGAGAAACACTAGCTGCATTCAAGAAATGTTTAATCAAGTACTATGCTAGCTGGGACCTCTATCGACTTCGTCCCAGTTGAGTACGCAACGCATGGGTTGATCACGGTCTGTCACGTCGACTCGCGGTTGTCATTGAGAATTGCGGACAGAGGCGGCCTGACCCACCATTAAACTGAGATCAACATAAAGTGGCCAGCCAGTTTTATTTTTTATTTTTCTCAAAAGGGTGTCTTTTTCTGAATCCAAAAATTCAATTATTGACAGGAAATATACATGGTGTCGCACCCAAAATGTGTAGGAGGTTTCAAGAAAATGTCAACGATTTTGATAATTTAGAACCTGAGCAAGTGCTTCTTTTCCGCCCGACGCCAAACGAAACAGTAAGCCAACATTCTTAACCAGACTGTTTCCTCCGTCATTGACATCGCGCTGAAAAATGCTCTCAATTGAAATATAGAAATAAATTCTATTCATACTTTCAAGATGTCACTGGCACGTTAGGTAAACGTCCTGTAAATGTTTGCCTGATATCTTGTCTGACAACCCACCTGCAGCCATTTAATGCAGCAGACGCCTATATCTTCTCTAAGGCAGATTTCAAAACGGCAGTTCGATTCCAGTTAGCTGAAACTTTGCCCCGATTAAGTTCTAATGAGCTCTTGTCGACTTCTATCACAAAGAAATCCCAATTGGAACTGCAACTGGACTGCAGTTTTTAATCCGCGAATGCTATTCATAATTAAAGAATTGCATTTCTTATTTCAGCAAAGGACACCCCTTACAAAATGTCCACTCCCCCTAGATGGATGTGTCTCTATGCGGAAATCCACCTGGGTCTAAATCCACCTTCCATTATCCGATTTCACAGACAGTCTAAGGGAGCGCACACAATGAAATAAAACTCATGCGAGCAACTTCAGGATGAGACAAAATATATTTCAAAACGCATCTTGAGAACTACTCATCGAGGGTAAAGACAAAAGAAATGAACAACTCACGTAGCATGGATCATACAAGTCAGAGCCATTCACGTCTGAGCCTTCCTTCTTCAAGATCCATCTAAAACTTTCTGGAATGTGACTATGCAACTAAAAACAATACGTAATCTTGTGTAATGATTACAATGCCAAATTCTTGCACTTGCCCTCACTGAAAGACGAACTGGGAGGAAAATATTACTGAAAAATGGAATCATAAGTCCTCATCGTTGCATATGTCCAGGAACACATCGTATGCTTCTCGATTGCAGTTTCCATCAGAGGTGAAGAGATACTTGTGAAATGTTCCATCCATGCAAATTGCTGTGAAAATAAACATTCTTTAGAATAACTGCTGATGACATAAATTTGAGGAATGTTCAAAAAGTTTCAGCTACACATCTTAATTTTCTTATAAATACTATAAACATCACATAGTAGATGCCACTTATTGTTATCACTTGGGTGCAAGGGGATTTGATATGTTGGCTGTAAATAGACAGCGATCAATGAGAACCTTGAAATACTGTACTTTTCTTATCAGATCAATTTTATTGGAGAAAGTAGTCTGGGGAGAGGTAGTTAGCTACTAGGCTGGTGATTATGTCTCCAGATTGTACAGATATAAAGTCAAGTCTCATATAACCCTTTGTAGAGAGGTGGTCCCTGCATGTAACCGTCTTTCTGTGACTTTTCCTTCTCTACACAGAGGTTAGCTGCACAAACCCCCATGAACACATGATATAAAGGACTTGGTTTTGGTTTTCAAGACTTGATGCTAATATTCAGCTAATAAAAAATCCATTGATTAGAAATAAGCAGCATCTGCAATACTGCTCAACCCTTCAAGATACACTTTCCTAACACCTTAAGATTTTAAATTCTCGATAGCAACTTCTTGAAGGGTCCTTGGTACTTGGACAGATGAGAATGACACACCAAAGCCCAACTCATAAAAGGTTTAACAATTCTTTCCCACCAAGCCTTGCTTTGAAAAATGGGAATACATACATAGTAAATTCACAGCGGATATACTACAAGGCAGATGGCATCAAAGCATGGCTTGTTGGAAAAGAACGTTTTGTACTTTTAGGATTTGGCTCAAGGCTTCAGGGCAAAAAGTACTAACCAGTATGAGTACCATAGATGCTTTAACACATTCACTACCAGGGAATTAAATTAATGAATATTTTAAACATACGTTCAGTAATGCTGAAGGATGTGGTACCTTGTATGCAACCCTTGTTGGTTGTGAGACATTTGAATGACATTTTGAATGAAGAAGTAACTATTCAGAAGATGGCATGAAAACGGCTTTATAGCTGTATATGGTCCAGGAAAAGGATTCATGAATATGGCTATAGCTGTGCATGTTAGATGCATGTTAGAGGAGCATATTCTGAAATGATGCAGTTATGAACTTTCCTTCTGTTCCTTTTGTAGAAAGGAAAAGAAAAGACTATTGAGAAAACTTATTGAATAACACTCATATGCACAAGACAGGAGCATACCAGCAACAGAAGAATTGTTGATGAAGGCACAGATACAAGCACACTCTGGTGGTACAGTGAAGTTGGCCAAAGCCCACTGAGACTCCACATATGTCCCAAGGCTCAGGCCCATCTTTGAAAACCTATTGACAAAAATCACTTTCAGGCTAAGACTGAATAAGCATGACCCCGAAGAGTGCACATCTCAGAAATTCATAATATAACCTCATGACATAGGTACTATTAAATTAATACAGAATTGTTTATACTGTATATACACAAATTGAACTGGTCATAAAAGTTTTCTAGGGTTAGAGACTTCTTGCTGCATTACCAGCTCATTGGTATAGAGTCAACAGTTGGCAATATAAAGTGAGAAGGCTCACACTAGTGAGAGGCCTCCAAATATCAATGTTAGGTGGGAGATGTACATTGCTTCCCTTTCCAAGGAAGGTAACTCATATTCTGAGAGCAGATTGGTGCTAGAACAAAGGTTATGTGGTTTCCAAGAAGGGACTCTACATTATTTACAATGTTAGTTACCCCAGAAACTACATTGAAAGGGAGAGAAATGGCTTTAAACCATACCTGACACCAAAGTGAACTATAGCAACCCTTTTTTCTTGGTTATAATTAACAAGTATCAACAAAGCCCTTAGACTAAAAAAAAAAAGCACAAGTCCCATCTTCATGAACTGCAACCTTGTAATGCTGCAAAGAGGAAGACCAAGTGCAAGAAGCTTTATGAGTGCCACCAAGCAGGAGAAAGTTTTAAATATGTGGTCGCTGTTGATGAAAGCATGGATTTACATTGTGAGTCAGTGTTCAAAGCATTTATTCCTGTCCTGGTGGTGTTAAAGCATTACAAAAGTGATACCTGGTGTCAGTGGCATATTTTACAGGGGGTCAGCCACCTCTGGGACAGGCCTGGTGCCTGCTTGGAGGCAATAATTTTCCCACCTGATATTGCTCAGGTGGGGTTAGGCACTCCTGCTCTTCTGCCCCACCCCCCAACCATTCAGCCAAAATACACCACTGCCTGGAGGGTACTAGACCAGGATTCATGATTGTTTTAGACTTTTGTTTTCATGGAAAGTTGCAAATTTGTAGAGTGGCCAATAATGTCAAGTTCAATCACTAATATTACCAGGAACAGGTTTTAAGGTCAACTTTTCAAAAGACACTCCTACATCTGTATGAATCAGAGACTCCAAAAATATCAATGTACTCAGATAAGGCACTGAGACAAAGGTCCATGGCAATTGCTGCCTTTATGAGCAAGATGAATTACAAGATTAACAGCAAAACCATTTACAGACATTTCTTAATAAGTCCCCCGATGCAGTATTGAAGGATATTTGTGCTCTAAGTTTACCAAAACTAGAGGAAAATCAGGCAATTCCAACTTTGAATGGTCTCTGGAAAGTGGGCATAGAGGTGTGGTAGTCACTTGGATATAGCTCTACTTCAGAAATTTGCTATCTTGGAAAGTTCCCTGCAGATCTATTGTCAAGAACCATGGGTACCAGATAGAGCACAATCAAGAATGGAGCAGAAAACTCTAAGAGCTCAAGAAGAAGGCATGCACAACTCATAAAAATTTGTTTCTGCAAGTGCAAACAACCCTATGTAAGCCATCTAGCAGATCAGATCCAGGCAATTCATTTTCAGGTAGTTTTGCGAATCAGCACATCTCCTGTGCCTTAACCCATTGAGCCCCGGAACCATAATTTTAAGTTTTGACACAGTTTAGCTTTCACCTGCCCAGGATTCAATGTGTTAACAATAGCTAGGCAACCAATCCAACTTTCATATGATGCAGGAGAAGTATGGTTATGAAATTCATGAGGACTAGGGAATAAAACCAATAGGCCTACAGCATAACATCTTATTCGCCATGGTCAGAGACATGTAACCTTCATGATCATGACCAATGCAAGAGCATGACACCTAAATTATAAGAATACCACTGAACTCCACAATATTTTTAATAGAATAGCAATAATTCCCTTGACAAATTGTACTTACGTGGATCTGCGGTTTAGTCGTGTCTCCTTGAGGGCAAAGATGTGGACAGTGCCTTTATCACTTGAGCAGCAGAGGAAATCTGAATCCGGACTGAAGTTGATACTATAGAAAATTAAAGAAAAGTGGATAATCACCATGAAGCTAATGGCTTCTCCCACTCTCAAAAGCATTAATGGCTCAGATGGTATGGATACTGTACTTGATTTACTGCATTAAATCATTAGGAAATTGTAACTTTAAGGGGAAGTTCTCAATGGGGAAAGGGTCCAACAATGATGTGTTTTAGTCTCTGTTTTAGCTATGCCTGACTTGCAACATAAAGTTTGAAGTGTCTACTGACATTATTGTCAGTATAATTGTCAAGATTTCATTTCCAGTAATAATTTCTAACTATTCATCTTAGTTCAGTGACACTGTATACTGCACAATCAGCACAAAAAACAGAAAACATGACATTTGAGCACGGGTCAATGGTTCCAGCTTTTGCCTTATACTGAACACCACCAGACACAAATGTCAGAAAGACCAGAGATGAATTTGAGTCAACTTCCGTGGCACATAATTTTGTGACATGGGTCAATATCAAATGGTCTGTTTGGGGTTGAGCCAATAGCACAAAGGGTCACTTCATCACTTAAAAAAACTCAGAAAGTCTAGGGCTGCCATGATGATCATATCTATCTTATTCATGTTCCCTAGCCTATGATTGTTAATTGCAGTTTTTTCTTTGGAATTTAATGCTTTCCATTATTACTCCAACAAAGCTGCATGGTTCTTTACACATATTGTGCAGGAGTGAATTGGCAAATTCTATTCTACATACCCACAATTCCATTATTTGCCTTGTAAGAATGTTTTTAATTCTCATGTACACTCCAAGATCCCCTTATATATCTGTGTCAAGGTCACTGATGAGAAGAGTAGTATCAACGTGAGGGCTATTAGTACATCATTTAAGGAATTTTTCACTATATAAATTCTAAATGTTTCTTTCATAGAATAAATATAATCAAACATGTCCTGTACTACCTCATTGAGCAATATATAGAGTATGGAAAACAAAGTCTAATAGATAGGCTAGAATGCTGGTTCATCAGGGAACATGTATTCCCATGCTTGCAGGCAAATGATATCATTTTGGAAATTCAAGATTTGATGGGATACCAAGAACTGGGGGATATGTGCTAACACATAAGTAACTACACCTATATGCATAAGGTTGTAGGTTGGAATCTTAGTAGCTGATGCCAGGTTTAATACAAGTGCAAAAAGTTTTAATCCCATCTGGGTGTTAGCCTCCAAATAGACAAGCAAGAATTTTTACGATGGACTTTTGAATAGAGCACTATCCAATATTGCAGCTTTATTTCAGGGAAAATACTACAGAGTTCAAATGAAAAGGGGACAATGGCTGTTACTCATAGCCGAAGGGTAACCTAAAGTAGGGGACTAAAAGTTCCCTTTTCATTTGAACACCCATATTATATCTCCTGAAAATAAAGCATTATCAGATAGTGCTCTTTTTGAAAATCCACCCTTAATATTTTATTTGTTTGTACAGCAAAAAAACCTTCCAAACTGTTTTTAAGGCAATAGAGGATGGTGAAAATGAATGACAACAATAAAATAAGAAACAAATTCCAGGGATTGGCAGCCCCCAATTTTAACCCTATACCGAATGAGGCAAAAAATACTGAGCTGCTCTTGGAAATTTTGTGCCAACTCAGAAACAGCAGCTAGAACAAAATTTCTTCTATACACACGTCTATGCATCCTTCAGGCATCTTAAAATTTTTGGTCATTTAACTCTAGCTGTTTCAGCAGACGAATGCTTTTACAAAACCAACTGGAATTTTACTTTTGTTCTTGCACCTGCATGCCAACAGGAGGACCCACCCCAATCACTTGGGAGGGACAATTCTTTTCATGGATTTGTATCCTCTGTACTTAAGAATCCACTAAGCAGATCTCTCATTTGTTATACCTAATAATTAGCAGACACAAATTTTGCATACCAGGATTATCATCTTAAGAAAGAATGACTTCTTCCACATAATGCAGTTTCCTTGAGTTCCTGCTGGTTTTAGTCTTTTGCTCCTTGGCGACCTCTCAAATGAACTGGTTTCTTGCAGCTTGTAAATCAATCTCTTAATGATAGGCCTACATTTCTTTCCTCCTTTACTGAGAAATTCTTTCATTATTCTGCCTCACCCCATCCTTTGGAAAAAGCAGCATTTTTATGGGCAGACAGGAGTTCTGGCCCTAGAATAGTGCACTCCACACATAACAACTACTCTTCCATCTATATTTTTCCTTGTGCAAAAATAAAATTTGAATTTCCTTTGTATTTTTGCTCCAGTGCTGAAACAGCTGGAGAAAAACAAACAAGAATTTTAGGATGCTTAAATGATACACAAAAGTTGATGCAAAAAAAATGTTGACGTGCTATATGCTATTTCATGAACTTCAAAGAATCTCAAATAGTGGCACTTTTTTTCTTCTCACCCTGTTTATATCAGAGTTGCAGAATTGCAACAACTTGGTATAGCTGATACTTTGAAGCTTTTTCATATAAAGTGATTAGTGATCAAATAAGTTGATTCATGAGTCACAGGCTCCATCATCAAGAGTGCCACTGCACTGAGCACAATGACCTCTACCTACAGGGTAATTCAAAAAGAAGGTAACACTTTCACATGTTTATAATGAAGTAACCAGTAAGCCTACAATGATGTGATATGTATCAATTGTTAGGAAAACTCTCAAAGTTTGTTTGTACTAGACGCGGGAAAGTGTTTTGCGCTTGCGCTGCCAGGGGAGACCATGTTGCAAAAATGGCGGCTCCACAACAAAAGGTGTTCTGTGTCCTGCAGTTTGGAAAGACCAACTCTGTAACAACTGTGCAACGGCTGTTCCACATACATTTCAGAATTGATCCACCAGCTAGGAAGACCATTTACAGTTGGTGTCGGCAGTTTGAAGATAGAGGTTGTATCTGCAAAGGGAAAAGCATGGGTCAACCTTGTGTATCGGAAGAGAATGTGAGCCAAATTTGAGAATTTTGTTGTGGAGTCACCACTTCTGCAACACAGTCTCTCCTGGCAGCACAAGCGTGAAACACTTTCCCACATCAATTACAAACAAACATTGAGAGTCTTTGTAACATTTGATACATATCACGTCATAGTAGGCTCACTGGTTACGTCATTATAAACATGTATATAGCAGTGAATGTGTTAAGAAGCTTTCTCATTTCAAACTGAGCTTGTGGGATGCTCCAAGCTCAGGACTCCAAAGAAACGCTTCCTGAACTTGTGCAACATTTGAACAAATGAACACAAAGGGAAAAGGAACAAAGCAAAACATTCTATATTGCCTGTCCTTTTTTTGCCCATTTATAAAATAGTTATTTCCCCCCTATTTCTGTAGTTTGAATATTTCTGCAAGAAAAACAATTGAATCAAAGGTGGATACACTGAAAATTGTGAAGTTAATGAGCAACATTTGAATCTCATGGGCTGAGAATGGGTGAAACTCAAATGATCAAGTAGGAGGCCCTTATATTTAGTAAGAGGATAGGAAAATGGAGTAATCAATAAGACATGAGTAAGAGGCAGGTGATGTGCAACATGCATAAGATTAAGATGTATTGTGAAGAAAAGGGTTGGAAAGCCAAGGAGCTGGTACTTTACCTCCAAAGAAAAATACTGGGCATCTTTTCCCAGAACATCTTGATTAATTCTTTATCTACTGCATTCAACACTATTTCAGGACTACCTGACAATAAGTTAACATCGCCAATGCCTCCACTTTCTCAACACAAAAATGGGATTGTGGCCTGGAAGAAGCTCATTGGGCCATATTTAGATATAGCCACTGCTCCCACACAGATTTAAGTTTTTTTAAAACACTGTAAGAGATGAGCATCTATGACACTTTATCTGACTCAGTTTGTTTTGGGAATCAAAAATTTCATGCAAACGTTGTAGGAATAACAAGCTTTTCAATCATTTAGCATATAGTGAACCCCACACCAGGCATCCAGGATTCCAATAGTAGTGGACATTTTTCACTGGGCCATCCTGAATTCCATTTTCTAGCAATACTATGAAAAAGTGAAATGGGTACATTCTCCTCCCCTTCCCTTTAACTTACCAGTAGAGTGTGGCAGGATCTGAGCCTCGCCTCAGCTCAACCAGTTGTACTTTAGAATACACGTCAAAGACACGGACCAGCGTGCCTTTGCATGAGGCTGTAGCTAGTAGGCTGGCCTGTTGATTAAGGGCAATACAGGCTATGTCAGTCCTATGGGCATTTATGCAGTTTGGTGCACTTGAGATATCTGCTTCTGTAGTCAGCAAGTCCTGAAAAAGAAATTATAATGATTCCAAACAAGTGCTCAGCTCTTATGATGAAATGCTGATAACCTTCAAAGCCAACATTCTACTATTATTTTCCCTCAATAGTTCATTGTTAATAGCTTGCCATTTTGTGCACTAAACTCTTTTGAGTGAACCTGGCTGACAATAAATTTGGCTCATAGATACTGTAAGACTCCCAACTATTTTGAGTCAAGGTAGAATGGGATTCAATTTTCCTGAAGTGGAGAAGGTGAGAGGAGATTGGATTTCTCTGGGATCCAGAAGCATAAAAAGAAAAGTGAAACATTTATTGGATATTTTGTCCAGTATCCTGGTATTTACGAGAGACTTGTGGCCTCTGTGCAGATGCACAAACAAACCAGGACCAACTAGAAGGTCCCAAACATCAGACATGCTTTTCAGGAATGTCACAGAGGTCACAGCAGCCTTCAGCTGCAGTGACAGCTACTATGGCATATGCCACACTTAACATTCTGCAGAAAATGTCTGGAAGAATGAGGAGATGCTTTCAAGTGTTTGGAACATGGTGGTGGCCATACACACAAATATGAATGAAAATGCTTTAAGTGATCATTACTTAGGGGCCACCCTGTATGTAGAGTATTCAATGGGGTACAGATTAGCTCATTTTGATGACATTGCCAGAAACAAAACCTCAAAAAACCTTACAACCTTTTAATCATGGAGAGAATAGTATGAGGCAAAATGAGGACATCAAGAGATTCTTTGTGGTAACCCTTTCCTCTCATCCATAGGAGATATATTTTTTTATACACTGATTGATATTACCCTTGGGAGAAAGGCAACATTTCAGGTACAACAGAAATGGGTGAAGTAAGGAAAAAGAAACTACAAAGGTTTATATGTTCTGAGTTCTCTGAACTTGCTTAGTGAGACCAGATATTAATTAGTATGAAGGCATGGATTAGCCAGATAAGAGGAGAAAATAGGAGACATATAGGGTATCTCAAAAAAATCCTTGACATCAACCTGGAAAATTGTCATCTGGTCTTATTCACATCAACTAGTAACGTTTTGGATAGCACCCAACGTGCAATCCTATTTCATGATCCATATGACAACAGACATAAAACTAAAAATCATAGTGTTGTGTGACAAACTGTGAATCCCACCAGGTGTACATCTAATCCCTATTTTGAAAACTTACTAATCAAAATGCTAAGATGTTGACAAATGGGCTTGGTAATTAAGTTTTCAGCAGAAGTCATAGGCCTGAAAGACTTAGTTCCACCCATTTCCATTAGGTTCTCTTGATCACTCCTGGTTCATCAGAAAAAGAGAGCTAGTAATAATAGCAACTGGGGGAATAGAAATTAAACTGCCAGAAATAAATGACATTGAACACTCTGTCAATGTGTCTTTTTAGTGAGTGAGAGAGATTTACTTAACTGAAAAAACATGATACTCTTGCCTGGTGCCTAAACCAGCATAAAATCTCACCAGAAGACTTCATATATATATTTTATAGAATCTGGCCTTTTCTTAGGAAAAAAGAGCAGGATACAAAATTTCCCCAGAGAATGTATTTTGATAAATTTGCATTATTTCTTAATTCCCAAGCAAGAACCTATTGGTTTTGAACAACTTCTGGTGTAGGAACTGTTTACAACTGTTAGATTAGACTGAGGCTCTGGGCCTGTAACCTAATTACTGAACCAGGATCAAAATAAATTCTAACCTCCTTTAGCAATCAGCACGAGAATTTCATTAGACAAGACCTACATAAGAATGTTCTAGTACAGGAGCTACACTGAGATGACTCACAAGAAGCTGCACCGAGCCAACTTTCATGCCAGGGAATGCAAGAAGTTGTCTTTCAGACGAGATGAGTGGGCTCACTGCTACCAGGCCTTGGGGGTTATTTCGTGTATCAACAGAGAACAGTTTCCGTGGATTGTTGGGAAATGAGAAGACATGAACCTGATTTTGCAGTACTGCAATAAGCCTAATAAAGGGAAAAAAGTATAAATTCTCCATGTTATTATGACAAAAAAATTTCAAACCAACCTGGCAGAGCTTCATACAAGGAAGAATGTTCAACCTACCGGTCTCTTTGGAGTCTCACAGATAGCACAGGTGATGTGAAAGTAAATTCCAGAACAAACTTCTTCTTCAAGTCATCATAGATGAGGATAGTATTCTCTGCAAACTTTGGCATTGTTCCACCAGCAACAAGAGCAATAAGATTTGTTCGGTGTAGGAGGGAACATGAGCGAATGCTACCCACTGCTTCAACACCTGCTCCAAAGAAGACATCTTGAAACCATGAGGAGGAACAGGAGGGACAAAATGATAAATAAGCCTGTACGACTTCAAAAGTAACAACAAATAAATGGGTCATCGACTGAGATATTAGGGCCTCATTGGTCTGGTGGACACCTGCTTTGCACCAAATTGGAGCCGACTCATAGACTAGTAGGATTTACAAACATGGACCCCTTCTCTGTATTTTGCAACCCAAATATGAAATAAAGTGAAATGCTGTATTGCCATAAGAAATACAGTGTAACCCATGCATGTAAGAACAGCTGCAGGCAGAACAAGCACTGAAAAATAAATACATGGCCACCAGCTACAGTAGCCATGGTGTCCATCTACCTGAGTCAAGGTATCTTACCTTGTGTTCACCAGACCAATCAAGCCCAAGTATTGCATGAGACCTATTGGCCACAACTGTCTCCTTTCTATTGCTCTACCTGACTGCTGACAAAATGTATTTATTGAAGTAGCAGAGAGAGACTAGTTTTCCTTTATATTTCCAAAGGCCAGCATTTAAGAATAGCAGAACTCCCTATTTCACAACATGGATAAAATGTTTCTGCACATAGAACTCACTCAAGTGTCCTTCTTCTGTCAAGGGTTCAACATTGAAGATTCTCAATCCATTCTCCATACAGCAAGCAAAGATTCCTAAGAAGCAGAAAAAAAATACTTGAGGAAACACTGCATCATTTAAATAATATTTTAAATTGTGCCCATTATCTGTGGTAATCACATAATTTGCATGGAAGAAGCCTCTACCCCTCAGAAAAGGATATCGAGCAAGATTAACAATTTCTTACATTCAATGCCATTTCATTAAAAATTTTTACCCTTTTATTACACTTCAACAGTAGGTTTCATGAAACCTCAAACAAGATACTTTTGTTGTGCCACTCAGTATTTGTCCATCTGACTTTCATATGACTTTAATCTGTCCGTCTCAGATACAGGAGGGCATATATAAATTGCACCTAGCAGTACGTATATATGTAGCAAATCGCATATGAAACATTGCAATATCATGTCATCCTCATAAAATAATAAAAATGACTGCAGAAGTTGTGCAGGAAATTTGCACTTCTGCCATATCGAGACATCTGAGATTTTAAATATGAAGGCCTTCTGTGAACAGAGGGGGCAGATTTTTTAAGTTGCTGAACTATGACCTGCCAATGAATGACAGGCAATGCTTGCACTTCTGGAAGGAAGTGAGTCACAAATTATCATTAAATGTTGATATTATGGGAATCTGGGACTTAGTTAGCTGCACTCATGATTCAGTGTTATGGCACAATTCCCTTCCAAGACTTGTAAGAGGCTCCCAAGAGTTTCTGTTAGAGTGCAGTATACTGAAATTAACCTTTTCACTGCAACATTCTTTTTCTTTACATAACTCTGTTCTAAGTTTTTCACTTCTTGTGCAGCATTGTGGGTCCTACTTATAAAAAAATATATGTTCCCTCACTTATCTTACTATGTAAGATATAACTGCACTGGTTCAGATTGTCCTGAAAAATCTCAGGTAAGAAGCACAAGAAGGAATGTCATAAGAAGATACACATTTCCAAGCTTCAGCTAACTCAATTATAGCAGTGAAAGGGTCAAGTTTAACATGTTACTTCCAGTAGCATAATATCTTCCATTACTTAATCTGGAAACATATGCAAGGTACCATGCAGGATAATAGGCAATACATAAAAGTTAATGTAAATATTTGCATTAACACATTGTACTAACTCAGCCAATTTGTGAAATTGGCATCATGTGGATCACATACTATATCTATGGGAACTCTTTCATACATGCACAATGCATTAAGACCAGTTTTGTAATAAATGCATGCTTCAGCCAAACATATTTTCACATACGCAGGGGTCCATACTTCACAGCCAATACTGTGTGTGTATGTGGAATATACCAGGTGAGGCAAAAAAAAGAATGCACCATTTTTTGAGATTCTTTGCAGTTCATGAAGTAGCAGATAGCAAGGCAAAGTTTTTCATTGCAACAACTTCTTTGTATCCTTGAAATGTCCCAAAATACTTGTTCATTTTTCTCCAGCAATTGTAGAACATGAGCAAAAATGCAAATCAATTCAAATGTTATTTTTGTGCAAGAAAATGTGTCAGCAGGATAGCGGGTGGTATGTTTTGAACGCACCAATCTTGGACCAGTGCTCCTCCCTCTGTTTGAGAAAATGCTGCCCTTAGCAAAAGGATTGGATGGGACAAGAATTTCCTGGTGAGGAAAGAAAGTAATGCAGGCCTATAAAGAGACCAATTCACATGCTGTGAGAAACCAGATCATCAGAGAGGAAGAGAAGGGAGTTAGGTACAAGGACAGCTGAGGCTGGCTGTGTAGGTTACAGGGTTAAAGGGGAAATTCCATGTTCAAGTCATGGAATGCATCCATTTGACTGTGCAGAGAGCTGTTAAGAGTCAAGTTGCAACATGTGCTACTATGGCATGTTACATTTTGGGGGGCCATACATAACAGTTTTCCATCACTAATGAATTATTCCTACCATAATTTGCCCCTTGAAGACAGGTTCTTACAGAGGGGGGCAAAATAACATGGTTACCCCTAGGACTGGTCATTATGGGCTTTGAGAAATGCTGGAAGTGATAATTCTACAAAAATATCATTCTATGTTCCTTGTTTTCCCCCTATCTTTAGAAAAAAAAAAAACAGCTTAAACAAAGCAGTCCCTGCATGGGGGACGGTGTACAACTTTACACCCTAGAGAATACCCATTTTCGTTGGAACAATAAGCACCATTGTTTATACTCCCACTGAATAATGTATTTACTTTAGGGGTACTTTGACTAACGTTTCATCAGCTCTTTTGGGTTTTCACTATACCCTAGTGCAGTGGTTCCCGAACTGTGGGTTGCAAAATTTTCTGTACGTCAGCAAGTGGGTCGCGATTCAAAGAAGTCTGGGAACCGCTGCCCTAGTGCACTACATAACTACTAACAAGGAATAAATACCAAGGGAGCTGCATTCCTTCTATGTTGGGTTGAAATTGTGAGAAAGTCAACCTATTTTGGAGGATGATGGGTCAGTTGGGATAGAAAATAATCACAGCCTTTGGCTGCAACCCTTTTCTAACCCAACTGCCCCATCATTCTCCAAAATAGGTTGACTTTCTCACTATTTGGCCTTTGACACTGAACCTGGGAGAAAATAATGGGGGTCCACTAACTGTGCCAGTGCAAAGACATGTCCTTACATCAAGTTATGGTGTGATGGGTAATGATTTTATTAATCATAATTCATCTAATATTTTTTGCAAGCTCTGCCAGTCAAACATAGGCACAAGACCACTGGATATCCCAACAGTTATTGAGCACAAATCATGCAGTTTGCTTTAAACTTTTCAGGTCTCCTTTATCATCTCCTTTGAAGGGATATTGAAATTCTGTAGCTGAACATGTCCTTAGTGGTTGACAGTAACACACTCCTTTTGTCACACTCAAAGTAATACTCCATCTCCAACGCCACCCCCAAATACTGTCGTATGTCGCGATCCTTACCGCAGGTTAGATGGCACGGTTTAGACATGAAGAAAGGAATGTAAGGTTGATGGAGGTTAATCAACAAGCGTCGGATGTGAAAGTGTCATTAACTACAATTTTAAAAGCTACTTAATATATTATAACTATTATGCGAATCAGAAAATGCTGTCAATTACGAATCTTTGCATCGCGTCTCTCACCATAATCTTGATTGAAATGTAAACTCAGCACTTGCTGCTTCAATCTCATTCGGTGCCGCAGCGACATACTGTCCTTCGGATGCGTTGCTCCAACCATTATCTAATCACTGATGGAATGAAACTGGAGAATGGGTATACTTTATGGATGTTAACATTTGAGTCAGTCAAGGAAATGAGTTCATAAATACAGCGCAACGAGACACCCACTTCTCGTGTGACAGCAGATCGCGCTGCATGGCATGGCAGCGACCATGTTTATTTGTCAGCTTCGATCTCACTGGCCAGGACATGTCGGAGAGTACAGCATTTGCACGTAATCGAGAAACAACGAACAATTGTTTTCGTGCAGATTCATCCATGAAGCCTTCCTCTTAGTAGATCGATAGACCGATTGTAACAAAAGTGTTCCAGGGTATTTGCTTACTCATTAATGCCAAGGACTTTAAAAAATGAACCAGACAGGTGCAAGCGAAGCTGCCCATGCGTTGACCCAATGGCGATGGCGGTTTGGCTAAGTTACATGGTGCTTTGCGCTTTGCATCTGCAATCAGAAGTGAAGACGTGAATCAGGTGACAGGAGCGAGGTACTGATTTGTAAATACGAATACAGTTTAACATCCAGTCCAATTTTGTCATTAATTATATTCATTAACCCTTCAGACAATTTTCCCATACACAATACGATCATCACCTAAGAGGTCAGGTCGGAACTCAGCACTTGAAGGATTAACACTTTCGCTCCGAATGCCTTCGCTGGGCGCAGAAAACGGGCGATTTTAGACATTAGCAAAAAATTAATATCTCAAAAAAGAAAATAGACACAAACATGAATTTTTTAATTATCTTACTTTGAAAAGATCAAAGTTTATTAGGACAAGATGTTTTATTGTTTTACTTGTTATAAGATATCATCTTTCAAATGAAGAAAAATATTTTCAAGAAAAGAAAAAGTTCCATATAGTTATGAGAGGAAATGTGAAGTTCTTTTCAAAATGTTCAAAATTACTAAAACTCTGAACACCTTCATCAGCTTCAAAATCTTGCCCATTGTCACTGTGACCACTGTCATGCTTCCTCTTTTCAGATCTAGAATCATTGATGGAAACTTATGAATAAATGCACAAAACATGTAGGTTTTTGCAAGCAGTGTGACAAGATGTCCCAGGCAATGGTTTCACCATTTTGGCACACTGAACATATGTTCACCTGGTCAAGTATTACTGTCCTTCCACTGCTGTGGAGGTGATTTGAAGGAAGTGCTCTGTCATCTAGTGAAGGGCAATGAACTAGGATTGCACTACAGTTCATACAACAATGTACCACATTTTAATGATTTAATATATTAACACAAAATTGAGGGGCATACTAGTACGTCCTGTGTGTGCCATAATGGACCAGGCCAGACATACCAGTATGTTCATTGGGACAAAAGTGTTAACCTGTGTAGGGTGGAAGCTAGGTTCCCCAAGAGGCAATTGGAAACACCAATGCGTGCAGAATTAGCAATTAACTTAGGTTTAGTCATAGTGTATTGGCTAAAAAAATGAATATGTAAATAATTAATGCAGAAAATACAGAGTGTTTAAGGAGAAACTAAGGTGCTGGAAGCTTTTCATGATGCAATAAATTGAACCCAAAAGTCAGCACATCCAGTATTGACTGTTCAGCAGCCTGTCACATGATGCTGTCAATTAATATTTTGCACTGTGGGGAGTGTGATGTGACTCCCAGCACACTAAAAACTGTGTGCCACCTGGATGAGCTCCTGCTCAGTTATGCATTAATCATGGTAAATATTTCAGATGAAAGAAAGAGGAAATACCTGAGGCCTGTAAAGGCAGAGAGTTTTTTAGTAAGTGGAACTCGTTTTCTGACATGATTGGCTTTAGTATTCTTATTCAGTAGAGCCTCCTCCTCCTGGATGAATTAGGCCAAAGCTTTTAACCTGTGTTTGGATTGTAAGTCTCTCTTTCCATTCCTCTACATTGCAGCCTTCAAACTTAGTCTGCTGTTCCATGGGTAGGACAATAACCTCATGTTAAGTTAATCTAGCAGACAAAAACATGATATTTTTATAGGAGTGGTGCAATTAGTTTTTCTTTTTTTTTTGTGAGTGGGCCTGCTCTGATTGATGTTGATTATCCTATGAGGCTCCAGTATTAGAATTTTCTTTCATATAATTTTAGAGAAAGTGTGCTTGTTTCCTCTTACATGTTCATCAATGGCTAACCCTGTATCTTTCATGTTGCCTAAGCTTTTGACAAATTCATAGTGAAAATAATCCAATAAAGTTTACATTTGCTTGGGATCTTATGCTCTGTCCTTATGTTTTTATTTTTCTCTTGAACATCATCTTGGAATTCAAATTATATTATTAATCTAGGGTGCATGACAGGCCTTTTGTATCCATATAAATCAAACAACTTTTCTGGAAATATGTACAATAATTAACATAGATTTCTTACATGGACATTCTTCTAATAAAAAGAATGTTCTCTTCAAAAATCTAATCAATACATGTTATTTAATCATGGGACCCATGACCTATCCAATGGATATATGTTCAATGTGAGTCAAAAGTCCTGCCTACCTTTTGAAAATGAATAATTTCTCAATGCTGGATCTGATCAAGATACAGTTTTCACCATTTAAAAGACAAAGTAATTCTATATTTACAGAAGGATTTTTGCTTTATTTTTCCTATTTTATCCCCAGAAATGAAATTCCTATTCTGGGGGGTTATACAAAGCACCTGAAAACACCCTTGTGGCACTGCATCCACATGCCTTGGCTGTGAACAATTCCAGTTTAAGGAGAATTGAGGAAAATGGCTAATGAATGATTGACCATTGATAAGCAAGTTGCATTCGTTCAACATTACTGCAAATGCTCGACAATTTAAGAAGAAATTTATGTAAGAAAATGTCAGTTGCATGTTGATAGCTCATATCAATTTGAATCAGGAATTATAGCAGTCTTTCCCTAATCTGGACACCCTCTGATACTTGAACAATTAGACATAGTGCTGCAAGCATGTTTTTATTTTTAGGTGACTTTGCATTTACATGACCCCCAGAATAGAAATTTCATTTCCAGACACCATTGGATAAATAATGCAAAAATCCATTTTAGATCAAAAATTGCCATGTCTTTTGAAAAGTGAAAACTGCATATTTATCAGATCTAGCATTGAGAAGTTATTAATGTTCAAAAAGGTGGACAGAACTTTTGACTCATCCTTTATAATAATTCAATCAGACATCCTTGGGTTAGTGATGCTTGGCAAACCATCATATCCAAGTCTTTTTCTGTCTTTTTCACTTATCTTGACATTTCCTAAAGGGGATACAACTGCATTACCTTTATAATTTCATAGAACTTCTGATGTACTACTTCTTAGAGTTAGCTAAGTCTCTTCTGCCTTGGATCTATCATTTTAAAAGTCTTTGTCCAATCAAGAGAAAGTGTTATTAGTTATTAGGCATTATCATCCAATGAATTATTGTCAGGTTTCAGAATTCCTTTGGAGATATTCTAAATAAGTCCATAAACTCAGCTTAGGAGACCTGTAAATGGCCCCAGTATAGGTCTTTGTTCTTGTAGCTGGAGTGTTTTTCAAATGCCTTCTGTTCTTTTCAAATCTCATTTGCTTTTTGCATGCAATGCATCCTCTTGCCTGATGTACATGAGGTTGCCATCTCTCTTATATAACTCATTGTTCCCCTGTATCTCTCTTATTGCTTGTCAATTGTAGAATCACCTATCTTTTTGCTTGGATTGTTTCTTAAGACAATTGTCTCAAATAGACAATTGATTGCTACCTTCTATATCATCCTCCTCCATAGGGACTGCAAAAGCTGTACTTAGCTTCTTGACCACTTCAATCAAACCCTCTCCCACCTAAACGAGTAAACCCTTTGCATTTAGGTTGGGCATCATGAGCACTGTTCCTTACCTTGTTGTCTTTCTCTCTTGCTGGTCAATTTGCTCCCTTATATGAGTGCTTTCTTGTTCCATCACTTTTTCTTCTTGAATGGCAACTAGGAATTGGGAAAGCATTTCATCATTGGTATATGAGAAAATCTGAAGAATCTTCGTCAATTGTTACTGCAATGAGTCTTCTCCATTTAGCCCGTTCACAAGCTTATCCACCATCTTTATGTTGTCCCTGCATTGCTTCAGCAGGACTGACATAAATAAGACATGTCACTCTTACCCCCATTCACTTGCTGTATCCAAACACTTAACATGAAACCACACTTGACAGCCCTCACAAGTGAAATCCTCACTGGAGAACTTTTAAGTGAGGACTTTGGAACTTTTCATCCCATTTTCACATGGGCAATACCAGCAGCCATTTTGCTACCCTCATTCATGAATAATTTTGCTCCAATTTTTATTCATTATCTTTTTCTCAATACATTCAAATTTTGGAAGGAACAAGTTTTTTAAACATAGGTATTGAAGAATAAAATTGCTTTCCATTAGGGCTGTGAATTATTTTATCAAATGAGAATAAGAGAAACTACATTTAAAAAAAGCCTTCACTCACTCTGTACCAAAGTCTTCAATGGGTCCCATTTTTTCTGAAAGATTCTTGTATCTTGTATCTGTTCTTTTAATTAATCCTCTTCCTGGACTATTCAAAGCTTGGAAGGCCAAGTTCATGTGTAGATGGCTTGCAACTACAGAGCCATTCCTAAAAGCATCTTGTCTCTTTTCCCCAATATATATTGAGTTCTTAGTTATATTAGTTGAGCAGTTTGCAGTTTTCTCTTGAGTTTCTTGGTTAGAGCCCACATCTTGCTACCATTGTTGTTATTGCTGGGAGGACACATTGGTTGAAAGCTTTCCATTTCATACATATGGAAATCATACTTTTCATGCTGTTACCCTGCAATAATAACTTTCTGTTGAAAACTAAGCAGAAAAACCTGAATGATAGTGTCATTATACCAAAGCTTGCTTTGTGATACCATTGAAATTTCACATAGGGCATGAAAAGGTAGGGGGATAAGTGAAAGTGTTAAACAAGGAAGGAAAAGACAAAATAAGATTAGGGGGGCAAGAAAAGTGGATATTACCAAGAAGAGAAACACCCACGCAAGAATTAAGTGCCAACG